ACTTGTAGATAATTATAAAGCAAATTTTGTCCTGGAAAATAATAATAATAAGGCTCCTTTTTACTTTGGCCTGGACACTGAGACTCCAACAGGACTCACCTCCCTCTCCTACCTCAGAAAACTGAAGTGACTTGTCTGAGCTCCCTAGCTTAGGAGTGGCTGAGCCAGGATTCAAACCCAGCCACTGATGGCATCCAAACCCAGGTCCTTTTGATCACAACAGTCTGGGCTGATTCAAGGAGCCCATTTCCATAACCCTAAATCTCAGAGCTGCAGACACCATGCTCAGGCTGAGGCTTCATGCCACATACACATACTCCACTGAGGACCAGGACCCTGACATCAGATGTGCTGTGCCATCCCAAGGCCTATGGACCAGCAGGGCCATAAGAGCTGGGTGGGGGATGGGAGGATGGCTGGCACAACTGGTCTTAAGCCAACTGGATCAATCCTGGGCACGGAGCTGCCTGTCTGGCTGCCCTGGCAAGTGGGTGCTGGAAATACCTCCATGTCCAAACCAACCTGCACATCAAGGTTTCATTCTGGTTTCCTCCCACCCTGACCCTGGTGACTAGCAGTGCCTACGCAGACCCAGAAGGCCAGGGTGGCAGCCACGATCCCTCTTTCAGTGGCTGGCACCTCCTCTGATGTGGCCATATGGCCCCATATGCTCCCTGACAGCTGGACTGCCAGGGCAACTGCCTGAGGGCAAGGCACCAGCCACTGCCCCCTCCCTACCCAGCAAGCTACAGGTACAACCAGGAAAACCACAGGCTGGAATGCCCTGCTCCCAGTTTCCTCAAAACTTTGTGCTAGTCACTGCCCCCTCTAAGTCTCAAACTCTTCCTCTGTCAAACAGCAGTGCTGACCTTCTACCGCTTCCCTTTGTATCCCACCTCTGAATCCAAAACTTCCACCCAAAGTCACTCCAGGTGTCCAGGGAAAAAAATAAACAAACTTTTTACAGAGCCTGAGGGACCACAGGGACTTGCTCATGTGTGCCAATGGGAGGCTCATACTAAAGCCCCATACTTATGACTCCAGGATACCTGCCCCTCTGTATAATACCCAGGTGGTGGGAATGGTGATACCCGAGTTTCTGCCCAACTCTGACAACCTACATTGCTCCACCTGGCTTCCCATCTAGGCCGAATCTCTCCATCCTCCATCTGGTGGGAAGCCATGCGGGGACTCTTAGCCATGCTGGTGAAGGGAGGCAAGGCACCTGTCCTGCTGCGGCCCCCACCAACAATCCTGTATTGCTATAGCAGCTCCAGGTTCACCTTCCTGCCTCTGGCTCTCCTGGTCAACCCCTCCCACAACCACCAGAGAGTGCAGTTTAAATTGCAAGTCTGATGGAATCCCTCTAGAACTTCAACCCCAGAAACCTGGAATACTCCTCAGTCAGGTACTCAAGGTCCTCCTCTGTCTTGTGCCAACTTGCTCTGTGCCTGCTGTTTGCCCCTGCACAAATGACTCCATTGCAAACACATTTCACCCATGCCTGCTGCTTCCCACCTCCGTGCCTTTGTTAACGCTGTGCCATCTGCCTGAAAAGCCCTCATTCATTCCCATTCTCCATTGATTAATTTTATTCACCATATTTACTGAGCATCTACCAAGTGCCAGAAATATCTGAGCAGGTCAAAATGCACCAGCCCTACACTGGCCAGGTGGCTCAGTTGGTTGGAGCATTGTCCCATACACCAAAAGGTTTCAGGTTCAAACCTCGGTAGGGACGCATACGGGAGGCAACCAATCAATATCTCTCTCTCTCTCCCCCCTCCCTTCCCCCTCTAGAAATCAATGAAAGCATATCCTTGAGTGAGGATTTAAGAAAAAAATGCTCCAGGCCTTCCAATCTATCTGAGTAGCCCCTTGCCCACCCCCCGTCCCCCTACCTCTCCAGATTCCCAGGCCACCCTGCCTCATACATCGGTGTGAGTCGATGTCTGTATCCCCTTTCAGAGTCCATCCAGAGAGGAGCCCAGGCTTGTCAGCAGTATTCCCAGTAGTCCATCCCAGACCTCAAACCAGGAGATGCTCCCAAATGTGGAGTAAGCTCCAAACGTAGAATTCCAGGCAGTTAGGGGCAAGGTCAAGGCATGGTTCTTGGGAGCAAACGTATCAGCATGGCCTGTCCCCATTTCCCTCAAAAGGAGGACTGAGTGGTCAGGAGTATCTTTACCCCTCAAATCACCCTAAGGCCTAGCCCACCCGATAACTTCTTCTCATTGAATTTATTAGAATGTAATATTTTTATAATTTAAAACATAAACATGGCAGGGGCAGGGACTGGCTAGAGAGGGAATTTAAAGGGGCCTACCTCTTACCAGTCAGAAGGTTTGAGGGGTGGGTGGCTGTTTTCCTAAAGGGGCAGCCAATGGGGACTGGGAGCATCTGGCTGGAATTTTCACTGTTGACAGCAGAGATCAGGGGCCAAAAAGACACCTTACTCTCTCCTTCCCCATGGTTTGAGGCCCCAAATGAAGGGCTCATCCTGCTGGAGTTGGTTGGGGTCAGAGGGTGAGGAGTATAGAAGAACTAGGGCCATGGTTCAAGCAGGCCTTGATGGCAGAGGTGGGGCCAAGCAGTCCCCTGGCCATGCTACAGCCACCTGGGTGTCAACCAAAGCATTGGTAAACACTCAGGAGGCAAAAGTCCAGAGCTCAGAGACCCACAGGGGATCAGGGGTAGGGGGTCGGGGAGAAAGGACAGCTAAGAAAGACTGAGTCAGCAAGAAGATGCCCAAAAGTGAAGCCGGAAGAGCCTGAGGGAGCCACCACAAGGTCCAGCAGGCCCACCCCGGCCCACCCCACCCCACCCCACCCCCCAACCCCAGGAGGAATTTTGGTCACTCCTGGGCAACAGCTCTTTCCACCTCCCCACAGGAGGCCTCCAAGGGCCCGAGTGGCCCTGGGGATGAGCCTGGGCCGCCATCAGACTGGATGGTCACAGGGGCCTTCCTGTGGCTGACAGCTACTCTAGCTTCCTGCCTCAGGTGAGCCTGTGAAGGAAGTGGTCTCAATAGCCACCAGACTACCCTCCCCCCAATGCACAATTAGACCTCTGTGAGGAGCCCATTCCACTGAAGGCGAGCTATGTAGCTCCAGGATGGAGATCTCAGGAGAGTGGGAAGGGTTCCAGGGCCCAAATGGGAAGACAATGCCAGGGCCTAGCCTAGAAGGCCAGGCTGGGAGTGGGAAAACTCCACTAATTCCCAGAAGGATACCAACATCCCAGTGCTGAAGATTTACAAACCATCATGCAGAGCCCTGGAAGATGCTGGCCCCAAATCTGGGAAGCAAAGGTTAATGAGGCTGGGGTCAAGAGGTGCCAGAAATCAAGCGAGGGAGAATCAGGCTGGGAGTTACTCTGCCCACCTCCCTTCCCATCAGGGAAGGATGTTGGTCACAGAGCCCTGAAGCTAAGTCAGTAAATGGAGCCAGTGCCTTCCCTGCCCCCTCCCTACCTCGACAAAGAGCAGAGTTAATACCTTCAAAGGAAGGGGCTATTCTGAAACTGGAGTTCTCCTAGCTCCATCTCTGCCTCAAAATCCTCCTCTGTGAAAAGGAGAGAAAGTGTGCTCATGGACACTGCATTGTCACAAGGAGTCTGAGAGATTCCAGAGGAAAAATGGAAGTGGAAGTAAAGCTTAAGCCTGAATGCTGGTCATACAATATATTACCATTCCCCAGAGACCCAGGTACATACCGAGTGGTCCAGCATCACACCCCTCCAGCCAGCATCTAGGCTGAGAACAAGACCTCTGACCCCACAAGCTCATACGCTGAGTGCCAGGAAAGAGGGCATATGGACAAGGACTGCTGGGGAAACCAACTGTTCTAACCCAGAAGCTCAAGCTGGAAGGATTCAGGAACAATCAAAGAAAGCTTCCTAGAGGAGGGAGAACCTGCCCTAAAAGCAGGGAGGATTTGGTAAATGGGAGGGGCCTTCAGGGGACCTGACGACTGACCCTTCCTTGGGCTTCTCACTCCCAGGGACACAGAGTTCCCTCCCTCTCAGGGACACCATCCTGGCCCAGATCTCCCCATCCCCTCTTCCACTGCAGGGGCACGGCTGGCGTTTGTGAGGGAGAAAGCTAGGTTGTTTCCTGAGGCAGCCAGCACAGGTCAGGAATGTGGGAGGAGACTCGAGGATGCGGGCCAAGGGGCACAGCACAGCCACAACCTCATCACACGGAGTAAGGCACGCAGGAGCATGGCTCCAAGCAAAGCAGGGATGGTGGGGCACCAGGCCAGAGGGCCTAAAGTTGTCCCTTCAAATCCCCAGCCTCTGGGGAACTATGCACCCTTCAGGTAGTTCCCTTTTTCCAGCCGACATTCCCACGGAACAGAAGGCAAGGAGACGCTGAAACATACACACTGGGCACCACTCCCCCACCTCAAGCCTGGTATCCTTAGCCTGCTGGAAAGACGACCTCTCGGACCTGAGACCTAAAACCTGTAGGCACGCAGTCCCGCCAGACCCTGGCAGGGTCAAAGGAGCCCGACAACCGGAGTGGCTCCCGCACGGCACTGCCAGGCTGGACGGAGGTTCCGAGAGCAGGCGGCTGTGCCCACTTGGTGGTAGAGACGCACGCACCTTTGCTTGCCTGGAAGCACAGTCTGCGCCCCGCCCCACTCCTCCCTTGCTCTCTCTCCTCAGGTAAGAAAGGATGGCTGCTACCATTAAAGCGTCTCCATCCTCTCCCCGCACCACGTTGCTCCAAGTCGCCGGGGTTCTGGAGTCAGGGGAGGGTTAGGCAGACGCGCGCAGAGGGAGGGCGCGCGGTCACGAACCGGGGCGCGGAATGCGCCCCACTCCAGCTCCGCGCGTGCACCCACCCACGAGCGCGCACCCAACACCCCATCCCCACCGCAGGCTCCCACCCAATCAGAGGCCGCGCACGCGACACCGCTGGCGGGCAGACACCCCAATCCCAGCCTGTGCCCCGCGATCCCAGCCTCGCCGCAGCCTCCCGGCTTGGCCTTACTCACCGTTCCGGGCGCGCAGTCCGCGCTCGGCTCCGCTCCAGGACCTCATCCCCCGCTCACCTCTGTTCTGCTTCCCGTTCCGCAGGAATCGGCTCGGAGATTGTGGCAGCGGCAAAGAGCGAGCAGAAAGGGCGTGTGCGCGCGCGACCGGTGCGCGCGCGACCGGTGTGCGCGCGCGACCAGTGCGTGCGCGTGCGCGCGGCGCGCGCTTGTGCGCAGTAGGGCCCCTGCGTGCCCCTGCGTTCCCCTGCGTTCCCCTGCGTTCCCCTGCGCTCCCCTGCGCTCCCCTGCGCTCCCGTGCGCATCCGCTCCTGCCGGCTGCCCTCAGCGCTGCGATGGCAGCAGAATCCCTAACGCGCGCTTCCTCCGGCTGGGGCGTTCACACTCCCGCACGCGCAGGCGCCGCACCCAAAGGCCCGGTACCCCGGCCCTCCGGATCCCCAGAGCGCGGCCCCCGCAGAGCGAACCTGAGTTCCCTTCCTGCCTGGCCCCGCCTTAGGTCCCCTGCCACTCCCAGAGTGAGCCTTTTTGGCGTCCCTGCTTCGCCACCAAGCCCCAGCGGGCCGCAGCTGCGGCCGCGCTCTCGGCTGCGGCGCCCAATTCGGGTTGCCGTCGCTCACACCCAAAAGCTCCGGCCCCCTCTTCCTCGCCCGGGTTGCCGCCCGCTCCTTCTCTTCCCCTCTCTGTCACTGCCTCTTCTTTGCCTCCTCTCCTTTCTCCCATATGACCCCCACCCCGATCTCTGTCCACTGTCTCCCGCTATCTACCCTGCCCCCGCCCTCTCCCGCACCATCTGCTCCCCGCTGCCCGGCTCTGCTTCTCACATTCTCCGCATTACATTGGGTGCCGCCCACCGCTCGCCGAGCCCAGGTTCCGAGCGCGCAGTTGGGGGCGAGAGGACCCTGAGGCGCCGGATCCCCGTGCCCTGGGCTTGCCTCCCCCCCCCACCCCCAGCTCTCAGCTCGTTCCCGGGCTCCTAGCTCCTGCCTGTCGGGCGGGGACGTCCAGCGCTGGACTCAGCTACTGCTAACTACTCCTATCTCCCTCGGGCTTAAAGGGATAGCGCACCAGGTTCGACCTGCCCCACCCAGGGGCGCCGAAGAGGGGTGGCCTCTCCGCCAACGGGACAGTGCGGGGCGGTGACGTAGCCTGGACCTTTGTGCACCGCCCTTCAGCCAAGCCTTTTCTCCTGGAGGTGAGTCAAGGAGAAGAGCGGTTGAAGCTGTCCAGACCACGCCATCGAGGGGGGCGCTCAGTACTCCTTGGCGACAAAGCCTAGGGGCAGGCTGGTGGTGTGGAGGCAGTCGGCATGGGCATGGGCGCTGGGGCTGTGTGGCAGGGAAGGAGGGACAGGGAAGCAGCTGTCATATTCTAAGCCCAGGGTGAAGATACCTGTCATGTTGGGAAGAGCTCACAGGTGGGCCTCCCACTCCTGCAGTCTGACCTTGGGCAAATGTCTGCCTCTCTCTGGGCCTCAATTTACACTTTCTTGGAAGGACATTGGCTTTCATCATCTCTGGGACCATGCCCACCTCTGTGGTATTAGATCCCACAGGAGAGAGAGACCCAAGTCAGGCCCTCAGCCCCCAGAATTCCACCCACTCCTTGCTTCTGACAGCTTGGGCTGCCACCACTCCTCCCTCACTAGGCCTGGTCTGCCCCTTCCCTCATTCTGTAATCTTCCTTCTCCATCCTCCTCATCAGTGGAACAAGGCAAAGAGGGTACAGGGACCTACCAGCGATAGCACACTGCAGTGTGCAAAGCTCTTTCACATCCAAGGTCTCCCTGGACCCTCATGACACCCCTAAGAAGTAAAGTGCACCCCTAGACTCCTGGTCAGCCTGATCCTGGAGAGGGCTGGTGCCTGAGCATGTCATCTTCCTGGTCCCCTCACCCCAAACAGACCCTAGCTCCCCAACCCCACAGAGGAATGAATGCATTTCGGTAATTTGTTTACTGAACATCTATTACGTGTCCCATCCTGTGCTAGGTACTGGGGACATGAAGATTATTTAGACACACTCCTGCCTTCAAAAAATGAGACAGAAGCAGGTACGATGGAACTTTGGAGAATGGAGGAGGTCCAGAAGAGCTCCTTCAGGAAGAACGATTGAAGCCAATAATTGAAGGATGCATAGGAGCTGACCAGGCAGAAGGGAAAATAAAGGGCATCCGATGCGAAAAGAAGAGCGTGTGCAAAGACCTGAAAGTGGGACATAAGGAAGGATGGGTATATTTGGGGGGGAAACAGATATAAGAGCCTTGGATTGAGGAGTGTCCACTTTGTTCTGGGGCAGCAGCAGGACTGCCACTTAGCAAATCTAGGCAGAAGTCCTCCCTATCTTTCCGCCATTACAGAGGTATATCTAATGGCTTCCCAAACCCAGGAGCTTTTGTAAGGCCTACTCTCCCATCAGTACGCCCAGTCCTACCTCCGCTCCCCATCTCTGCAGCAGGATGCAGTACAGCCCCCGCCGCTGCTGCACCCCGCCCCCCCCCCCCGCCCCCAGACTGCCGACTGGAGCAGAAGTGGTAGAAGCCCAGGCTCCATTTTGGCTGGGATATAAGTCCAACGAGGGCCAGACTTGGTCATACACACATCGAGGTATGTGTGTAAAAGACCTCAGACTTTGGAGTCAGGCTTACCCCATGCCAATTCCAGCTTTAGTGTCCTCCTTTGTACAGTGGAAATAAAAATACTCAGCCACCAAGGGAGTTGGTGAACAATTTTTGAGGAATAATGCACATGAATGACCCAGCACACAGCAGGTATTCAGCAAATGGCCTTTTCCTTCCCGACACCTGAGTTTGGTTTTATGGTCCATTCCAAAGTCCCTTGCTATCCTTATGTTCCCTCCTTGCCTGGCCATTTTCCTTCTACCCTCCTACCAGACTTCTTGAGGGCCTCTAGGGAAATGAGCTCATGGCTGTTGCCTACTCTGGCTCAACAGACCTCCTGAGGAGTCTTCCCAGGGCTCTCAGGTGGGCCCTAGGGAAGCCAAACAGAAACAAACAGCCTTTCCCTAGAGTGCTTGACATCCAAGCACTCTACATCCCTGTCCATTTTTCCCACTCTCTGGTTCTGAGAGCCATACAGACTTTGTGTCTGTAGCTTGGGAATTTATGCCCCCAACTTTGCTCTGCAACCTCAGATACACTGCATGCCCTCTCGTAGCTTCAGGTTCCTCCCTAAGTACAGGGTCAAGCTGTGTGCCACATAGGGGCCATGAACATACGTCTAAGTCATTTATTTTCCCTCAGCAGGCCCAGGCCTTGGCCCTCTATCCAACAGTTCTGCACAGAGCCAGACAGGTACAGAGGTCCCCGTTGGGCCTTCTTCTGTCCTGCCCTTGTGCTGGTGGCCAGGAGCTACTGCTACCTCTGCTCCCAGCAGGCTTGCTCTCTAGGCAAGGCATGAATGATGAATAGGCCCACCTGGAGGAACTGCTCTCTGCTGCCAGAGCAGCAGCAGCTGGGAGTCAGGGGCCAGGAGCAAGGCCAGTGTGGGCAGTTCCAGGAAGGAACTCCTTTACCAGAAGCTGGGATCTGGCTGTTTCCTGCCACAAGGGTTGAGTCCCTGCCCCTGCAGGTGCCCGCCCAGGGCCCCTCTGCTATTTTCAGCCATCTCCGCAGGCCAGTGGGGGAGACTTTGGCAGCGTCCCAGACCCAGTCACTAAGCCAGGTCCAGCCCAGGGTTCAGTTGCCCATGTGGAGTCCCAGGAGGCAGTGGGCATTTCCTGCCTACCTTCTCAGCCAACCCCTGGCTTCCTGGGTCAGGCTGAAAAGTAAACAGGGTCACCAAGAGTTTAGAGAAATGTCCCACCCAGCCAGTCTGTTTCCTTGTGTCTCTCATCTCACCTCCCCACCTCCAAGTCTTTCCCCATTTGTCCCCATCACCACTTGTCTTCCACACAATCCATTAACTCCTCAAATCCTTTCATTCTTAAACAGCTTTTCTTGACTACCCTCTGCCCATTTCAATTTTTCTCCTCTTCTCCACTCTTAACTGACTGTGTCTCAGGAGTTTTTATTCATTGGTTCATCCTCACACTAATCCTGTTATTATCATTCCCATTTCAGAGAGGTGTGCCTTGCCCAACGCCTTGCCCTTCCATGGTCACCTGCATCCAGTGACTAGTCAAAGGAGTGGATAAAGGCCCAACCCTCTTGCTCCAACCCTGAAAAGAACACTCAAGTCCCAACCCATCGCAATCCACCTTCTCCCTCTGCCCCATCTTGCTTCTCCCTCCATCCCCCCCCCCACCATGGCTGTTGATCTCAAAAAACTGTGCTAGTCTCCCTCCACATGGCACTAGTATTATCATCCCCATTTTACCCATAAGGAAACTGAGGCTCAGAGATGTTACATGTCTTGCCTACCATTGCACATTTGATGAGTGGCAGGGCAGGGCTGTCTGGAGAGGGAGGAGGCCAGGGCTCCTGGCTGGCTGGGGCAGAGGTGGGTGAATAGGGTTGGTGGTCAGACCCCAGGGAAGGTGAGTCCACTTGTAGACCAGTGCTAGAACCAGGACGGATTTATTCCATCTGCCTCTCTCCCCATTCCACAGATGGTGAAACTGAGCTCAGAGAAGGGACAAGATTTATCCAGGCTCATAGTGTCAATTAATGGTGGCCCCAGGTATATTTCCTAGGGTTCTGCCTCGCAGCTCAGCACAGGTGTTTCCTTTGGACCAGAGTGATGTCTCCTCCTGCCTGCTCCCTTTCCAAACCCAGTACTGGGTCTCGTGCTCAGGGACCTGGCTGGATCGACCCTTCCCCATTTCCCAATGCTGAAATGAGGCACTTGCGGCTCACACAGGCCTGTCGCAAAGACCTGTGCAGCAGCCCGAGTTGCCCAGCCCTGGCATGAGGCTGGGATGGACTGAGCTGGGCGGGGAGGCAGGCATCTGACTGGCACAGCAGAGCAAACAGACAGGAAGGAAATCAGTTTGAGTGTTTGATTAATTTTAATTTTTAATTTGCACAGAGAGTAATACACCCCATTTGACACTGCATACTCACTGCACTGCTGGCATTTGTCACTGTTGCCACCATTGCTGCTTGGTATGCCCAGCGGCTCACTGCCCTTCTATGAGATGAACCAGACCATCACATGGCAGAGTGGCCTCCTACAAAGCCTGAA